CTTGTGACCCCCGCCCCCCCCCACCCACTTGTCAATAATTACACGTAGCAGTTGCGTTATAAAATCGCAAAATGGTTTGATTTGAAATTATATTTCGATAACAAACATTAACCATTTTATTTTCTCTTAACCCCCCCACCATTCTTTTTCACTCCCCACTCTTCAATAATTACACATAGTCGTGTTAAAATCACAATATGATTTCATAATTATATTTCGATAACAAATATCAATCATTTATCATTCAATTCGATATGTACAGTTTGCAGAAGCTGTATTCTAAAACACTTGAATGAAGAGGCACGGTGTCCTACTTGCAATCATGCTTTGAACAAGGCTAAGCCAAACATCAAGTACGTTAACGATGAATATAATCGATTATTAATAAATTGCAAACAATTTTTGGATAATTAACAATTGATGTTCTTTTGTTGTTGTTGTTTTATTTAGAGCTGATAAAACATTGCAAGAAATCGTGTACAAAATAGTTCCTGGACTTTATCACAAAGAGATGAGAAAAAGAAGAGAATTTTATCGAGTGCATCCCCAATATGGTAAGTTTCTAGTTGTTTTTTTTTTGTAATGGGGGTTCCTTCAATAAATGTATTAATGGTTTTTAAAAAACAAAGTGAAATGCCATAACAACAATGTCAATCACACGTTTCCTATTTTTTTTTTTTGTTTCTTGTCAAAATTCAGCAGATGCCGCGACTCCGGAGCAAAGAGGGGAAGATGTTAGCGGTCGATTAATCTTTGCGCCTGAAGACGCAATCAGCTGTAGTCTCGAGTACATTCCACCTGGTGCCGATGTCTTTACAATTTTGTCGAGTACAAACGAATCGGATAGTTCATCTAACAATAATAATAATAATAATAATAACAATAGTAACACTGTCAACAACATAACCAACAACAACATCAACAATAACAATAACTCTAGTAAAAACAATAATAACATTACCACAAAATACAGAAGGTATCTTCAATGTCCAGCTATGGTTACTATAGGACACCTTAAAAAATTCTTAGCCATGAAATATCTGATCGATATGACGAGATATACTATCGAAATATGTCATCGAAGGGCACCCTTACCGGAACATTGGACACTCATGGACATTGCTTATATCTACGCTTGGAAAAGGGTAAAGATTTTTTGTTCAAAAATCAACAAAATAGAACCCCCCCCCCTCCCTCCCCCTCCTCCTTTATTCTCATCTATACTTTCTATTCAATATTTTTCGTTAGAATGAAAATGAATAGAGAAAAACCACTTAAATGTGGGGACTCTGTCTCTGTCTGTCTCTCTCTCTCTCTCTCTCTCTGTGGTTGCCGATCCATCTTCCAGGTAAAACCCTTCAGGTCAAATTTTCTACCATCATCATCCCTCTCCACTCTTTCCTACTTGGTATATAATCAATTTGGCAGATGGGTTTAGTTTATTTGGAAGTTGAATCGCGACCGGTTTTAACAAGTTCCTTCCTTCCTTCCTTCCTTCCTTCCTTGCCGGAAATTGAATGATTTATCGCGTGTACGATTTTTTATTTTGTTTTTGTTTGTATTCTTTTTTTACAGAACGCACCCATGAGATTCTTTTATCGTGTTGGCCAAGAAGAACAAGCTTTGGAGGCACCCCAAAACGAAAGACCATCGACACCCGGATTGGGTGCCAGTTTACCACCGATTGATAATTTGATCAACGATGAGAAACAGAAGAATCCTAAAGTGGAAGAGACTGAAGATAAGAACGTTGCTAAGGATGACGATGACACTAAGAAGAAAAATGAAGATGAATTGTTGGGCAAAAATAAATTACCAATAGTGCCATCATCATCATCAACATCATCATCAACAACAACAACAACAACAACAACAACAGCAGCAGCAACAGTGATGAATACTTCTGATAACACGAAGAAATCTAAAACTATTATCAAAGAAGACAAGAAGGTAATGGATATATCATCGTCAACTGTTGATAGAAACCTATCGACAACTAATGTGACAACAGTGACGTCAGCTATCGGTAATGTGTCGTCTTCAACAACTAACACAGTTACAAAAACAACTACGTCAACTAATAAAAAACCTTTAACGACTGCAACTGATGCTGCAGCTGCAGTTGTTAATTCGGTTGCATCTAACCACGTGGTTCCGCTTACATGTACAACGACTATGGCTACTTCCACGACAACAGCTTTAACTGTGGTTGCAACTGCAGGTACAACGACAACTACGAGTAACACTACACCGGCTATGATTTTGTCAACAGCGAATAATACAACGACGACGAATACGACAACAACTTCAACCAACACGACGATTAGTTCTACGGTCAATGAAGAAGGAAATAATAAATTGATCAAAACGCCGATTAAAATATTGAAAAATTCTGATGGAAATTACGAAGTTTTGAGGGGTACACCCACTCATTATCATTCCAGAGAACAGAATTCGAATTCTTGCGACGTCAAAAGTAGTACGAGCCCTGAATTTAGTGTTGTAAGTATAGGGGATGGACAAAATTCCAACGGAGTGAAAATAACTCTTAAACAATGCTCAGTTGCTAATAACAACAATTCGAAAAAACCAAAAGTAATTAGTAATGTTTTGTTACACTGTGGACAGGTTGACAGGGAACCATCATCTGCTGGATTGCTATTCCAACATCTTCAGAAAGATAAGGACAAACTACAAACTATGGAAAAACAGGAAAAACATAAACGTAAAGTAACTTTCGTGGACAAACCAACTACGGTAAAAAGCATGTTTAATATGTCAAAAACTATTATTAAAAAGGCCGCTGAACAAAATGATCGTAAAAAACAATTTCTACAAGGATTTCAATTAGCGGCTAAAGAACCGGCTATTGATAATTTACTTCTAGATAAAACCTCGAAAATGAACAATGCGAACAATGCAAGTGGTGTAGTAGTTAGTGAAACTAATTCGAACGTTAGTAAAAAAGAACACAATAATGTTAAAAACAACAACGGTTTAGATAAAAACGATGGTATTATAGACAAAACCAATAACATGGAAAATGGTAAGGTCGGATACGGAAATTCAATGAACGATAATAAGAAATCTATTAATAATACGATAATTAGTGTTTTTCCTAATGTGAAATCTAATAATGTTAATAACAAATCATTTGCCGATTCCGAGACTCGCGTTATAGGTTTGAACGCTAATAGAAATGTTAACGTTAATAATATCAACAATTCTTCAAAAATAGACGTTTATACATTCCCAAACGATCCACCACCACCCGTAGTCCCGGTAGGTGCTGTTAAAAGAAAATGTCCACCCGGTTTACCGATTTCCGAAGTTAAACGCAAACGACAACAAACGAGTCCAACGTCGCAATCCGCGAAAAAGTTGGCTAATGTGTCGACGCAGCAAAATCTTCCGAAAACATCTAGAAAGTGTGCAAACGATCAATTGCAACTACAATTACAACAACAACAGCAACAACAGCAAATGATATCACCAAAGAAACCTATGAACGTTATCAATGATTCCGGTCCTAGTCGTGCGATTAATGTTACGTCACCTAAAACCTCACCTCAATCTAATCAATTATTTTCTAACGATACGAGAAATTTGTTGGATGGTTGTGGTTTAAATATACCTGCGAGTTTGAGTATAACATTGACAGCACCCAAATCTCCAGGTAATAATGGTAACATGAACGACATCAATGATACTAAAGACAATCGTAAGAACGTTTTAGGAAAGGTTAATCCAAGTATTACACTTAACGATAGATGTGTTAATCCTTGCGAATTGAAAGCATTGAAGACTGGACAAATGAGGATGCCTGTTGCTCCACCACCAAAGGCAAGACAAACTAAACAACAAATGGATCGCGATAATAATCATCAACAACGTCAAACTAATTCTAATAATAAAAGAAAACGTGAACAAGAACCAAGAGATATATTGGATCTAAGTGGTGGTAAGAAGATGGATATACATCCTTTAAGAATACCTCAACCTGTAAAAAAACACAAAGCTAAATCACCGATAAGAGAAAACATACCAGGGATGATCGATCAAGGCCAAGTGGTTACATTGATGAGTGGTCACAAATATTACAGAGCTTCACCTGGTTCTTTAACACCTGCAGCTCATCGTGTCAACGATTGTCCACTTCCTACACCTGGACGTACTCCAGTTTACGCTTCAACCGGATTATCAAGCTCGATTAATGGAAATCGTACAAATTCTAATCTGACCGCCGCTTTTCCATCCTTGAAAAGTATTTTTGCTCTGAGCCAATCACCGAGTCTTCAGCAGTTTCAAATGGACGCGATGTTTAGATTACCTCGGGCAGGAGTAGGAAATAGTGGTGGTGTTAGTGTTGTAGGTGGAATAAGAGATAATACAATTCCAAATAATTATCTAACTAATAATATAACTAATTCCGAAAGTGCTAGTGTTGGTGGTGGTAATATATCTGGTAAAAGTCATTTAGCTGCACAATGTGCCCCAGTGAAACCCGCCAGATCATCAGTTGCACCATTAGCAGTTCCTATATCCAAACATCAATCAAACGAACGGACTGTTTCCAATTGTTTAAACAGAAATGATACTAACAAAAATGTGACGCTTAGAAATAATGATAATTCTTCTATAAATACTGGTGATCTTTCTGAAAGACTATCCGTTCAGCCAAGATATTCACCAGCTCCTGAAAATACGGACAAATTTTCAGGTAGAAAAGATAACGGAAAGTCTGGCAACAACGATGACAAAACTACGACATCACCAACAATCCCGACTGATCTTAGTTTAGAATCGATTCCAGATAATTCCAATGAACGTAACAATTCTCCAAGTCAACAGCAACAACAGCAACATCAGCCACAACAGCAGCAACAGCAACAATACAATCGTGAAGCTGCCAGTCCAAGAGTTTCATCAACAGCTTCACCATCTCCACCACCTAGTGAAAGTAACAGCAACGTTTGCAATGATGAAAACAGAAACAGACAACACGAGGAGGAAAGTTCTGTTAATCGACCAGATGATAACAATCGGAACACTGATTTATCAGTAGCAGTTTCAAAAAATACCTCAAACACCGAAACATGGAATTCCAAGTCACCTGTAAGTCCAGACTCAAGTTCTGTAGCTGCCGAGAGTAATCATCTTTCTAAAAATAATCCAAACAACTCGGATCAACTTCAAACACCATCATCTAACCAAGAAACTGAACGTAACCTTAAAGTTACTGATTCCCCAACAACCAAATTGGAATCTAATGAAAAATCGTCCACAGTTGATTTGGACAATAGCAAAATAAGTGGCAAATTATTGGATAACAAACAAATGACTTCAGAAATGTTGCAAAAGAAATTTTTAGCAGTTTTTCCATCGAACGAATGGGCAAACAATCCAATTGCTGCTGAACATTTGGGTAATTTTTTAAAAAGTTTGAACGAATCCATTAAAACGGAAAACAATACAACGGCGGACCAAACTAACGCTGATAAGAAGAAGACTACTAATGAAAGTGATAATAAGGATTGTGCTACTAATAAAGTGACTTACGCAACGAACAATGAAGTTTCTTCGAATCAACAAAAGGAAATACAATCTGAACGATCATCGTAATCGTCAATTGGGTTTCAATTATTTTCTTTTAATGATGAAAAATAGGAGGAGGAGGGATCATCATTCTCCTCCTTTCCTGTTTACGATTCTCAAAGAACTCTTTTTACGAGTCAAGACACTGCCATTTAATTTTAATTACCTGCTTTCTTCTTCATTGCGCTCACAAATGCAATGTGCGAAATACAAGAAGAAGAAGAAGAAGAAGAAGAATATTTTGAGATGTGCGTTAAAAAAAAAAAACACTAAAGGTGTCGTCGTCGTCGTGTCGAGAATAAAATGTGAACTCGAAGAAACTTTATTTTTTTATATGTGAAAAAAAAAAAAACGTCTCTCTCAAACACCATTGCTATTAAACATGTGGTGGTGTGGTATTTGTATATGTAACTACTACTACACGTATACTTTAGCAATTTACACCTAAACTTTTTGTTCCTTTTTTCTCTTGGTCATCTTTTTGAATACATTGATGAGCGCCACGTGAATTCTTAGGGGAAGAATATCCGTCAGGCCACTGGCGAACTTTGTATTGAAACAATAGCTGAACGTGTCAGCCATGGGTGACTGACATGGCCCAAATGGAAAGTCTAGTGTCAGGCATCGATGGCTGACGTGCCGCTCAAATGTGTTAAACAACAACAACAACAAAAACTATCGATAATTTACAAATTACATATTACTTTTTAAATTGATTATTAATTATTATTTTTTATTGTTTATTGTTTATCTTTTAAATTATTAACTTAACAATTAATGTATGTATGTATGTGTATATTCCAACAACTAACTTGCATATAGTAAGAAAATATCTTCTTAACAAATTGTTAAGTAAATACTTAACAATATAGTAATTTACTATTATAATTTATAATTTAAGTAATTAAGTTGTTATAGAAGGGGGGAGGAGAGGAGACGGGGAAGGGGGGGGAGTAAGTAAAAAAATTAGGTGAAAATGATTACGTTTAATGTGTAAGATATTCTCGAGTGTGTGTATGTATCGTTCGTCTAGCTTTGATGAAATTATATGCTTTATAAATTAATTGCTCGATATTATTATTGTAAAATGAATTGAGAGAAAAAGCGAAGAAGAAGAAGAAGAAGAAGAAAAAAAGAAACTATTCGTAATTAGTAAAAATTTGGACAATTGAAAGAATATATAATCCACGATGATGATTATGATGATAAAGATTGTTTTTAAATGATATTGCTGTGTAATTAAATTTTGATTAATTTATTTTCTTTTTTTTTTATAATATTAACGATTTAAGTTGTTAATATAAATGGTTTTTCTTTGTTTTTTGGAATGAGAACCACTGTTGGTCATCAACATTTTGTTTTACAATTAGCACATTCATTCAAAATAAAATGTGAGGTGGAATGAAAAAAAAATTCATTTCTACAGGTGCGAAACTAAACGTTCGATGTATGTGTGTGTGTGAAAGTGTGTGTTGGTTGTTTCATACACTTATTTGTTTTTGTTTTTTTTTTTTTTTTTTAATTATTTTACTTTGCTAAAAATAATTTTATATATATTAATATATTTTACTAAAAATTGAAATTTGATTCGATGAAATATTAATTTTCTTTTTAGTACGTTTGTGTTTTGTTTTTTGTTTTTTTTTTTTGGTTTTTATTTTGTTTTTATTAAATTATTCAATCATTCGTTTATAAAACAACACCATTTTGACTAGTTTTGATTAGTTTTGACTAGTGTTTTTTAATTTCTACTATATTTTATTTAAAACAAAAGTTGACATTTAAAATCAAATCTTTATGATACTTCTAATAATTAATAATAATTTAATTAATTTATTCGATAAATTTAATTTAATTAGACAAATAAATTTGTTTTGTTTTTTTTTTTTGTATTGACTCTGCTAGTCTTTTTGTTTCTTGTGTGTGTTTTTTTTTCTTTTTATTTTTTTTTGTTCAAATTGTACACACATTGCCTGATTAACAAAAATTTCAAACAACTGTGAACAATATTGTATAAAAAAAAAAATATATATATATATGATAATTAAATACGATGATTGAAGAAAATTATTAAAAAAAAAAAAATATATATATATATATATAAAAAGAACAAATACAATAAGAAAAAAAAATACGTAATAATATTAAAAAAAAAAAAAAAAAAAAAAAAAAAGCCTCACATAGTTTGAAACAAAAAACAAAACCTTTAAATATTATACATACATATATACATATATATATATATATTTTTCAAAATGCAATAAATATTTTTCAACTGATAAAATAATAAATAAATAATCACATCACACAACTAAAAACAAATCAGCATTAGACAAACATGTAAATGAACGTTTACAAAACTACAAAAATATTTAATATAAATATCTAATAATAATAATAATAATCATAATAATAATAATGTAAAATAGGAAATATCATTTGTGAAGTTTTTAGTAACGAAATGGAGAGAAGAAAAAAAAGAACTATCAAAAGAACAAAAAAAAAAAAAAAAAAAGGGAATTACTATGTGTGGCCATAGATTGGAATAATCTTTTTACAAACTTTTTATATATTGACGATCATTATTGTATTGTATTGTATTGTTAGTGTTTAGTTTTTTTTTTTTTAATTTTATTTCTAGATTATTCACGTAGATAATTATTATTACTACATATGTATGTATACGTGTAAAATAATTGTTATGTTATGTATAAATGCAATTACGACTATATATATATATATATATATATAAAAAAAATCATGTATCTTTTTTTTAATATGTATATATTTATAATTAATATACTATAATAATAATAATAATAATAATAATAATAATAATAACAAAAAAACCTGTTTGTTCGAATCAGGTGTAATACATAATGTCCTATTACTTGATAAGAAAGATACAAAAAAGAAAAAACACATCGATTTTGAAAAAGAAAACAAAAAACATGGAGTCATTCGAAACACGACAATTATGTTGCTTCATAAAATCAGTTGGTGTATCTTCCATATACAATATTAAAAATAATTTAAGAAAGTGGCATGTAACAAGTGAAAATATTACTTGCATATATATATATATATATTATTTATCTTTATCATTTCAATTTATTTTTCACCCTTTTCATGAACATACTATATATATAATAATAATAATAACTAGGGGTGTCCCACCACACGTTGCTGTGGTTTACAATCAGTTCGATACACACGTCTCTTTAAGTCAACGAATTACCTTATATCGCCATCTGTTAGAATCTTATCGAACTAACAGAGATAATCATGACTCTTTGTTAATAAACAAATAATTCGCAAATAAAGTAATATTGCGATTATAAATTGAGATATAAACTATCCTATCTTTCAAGTTAGATGAAACTGCACACTGTGTGCAACATTTTATTCAAATCGGTTCAGTAATTTAGGAGTCCATTGCGAACAAACAATGTGACACGTAATTTATATATATATATATATATATATATTACAATTTATTTATTTCAATTTATTTCGTTGTACTTTTGAGTTGAGTAGTACATTTACTATTGTATAATAGCAAATATAATTTAATATCAAAATACAAACACAAGGACTATGAGAATCATTTCAATGATTTTTGTTTTGTTTTGTTTTCTTTTCTTTTTTTTTTTTTGTCAATTGTTCCTAATTGTTATTATTTTTTTCAAATGTTTTTTTTTTTATTTAACAATATTTTTTTAATTGTTGTTTTACTATTTATTGGTCGTTACATTGTTTGAGTGTCGTTCGTTTCCTGTATTTTTAGCAGTAAAATTTAGGGTTCACGTTTTGCAACGTTTGGTTATTGCACAATAGCAAGTTTTATGCAGGTGAGGATAATTAGATGTCATAACAATAACATACTATTGTCAAAATGTGTATGAGAAATCGTTCGTGCTTAAAACTCGCGTGATCTGATGGTTTATATATATATATATATTACATGAAAACGATAAAGAGAAGGAAGCAAAAAAAAAGAAAAAGAAAGAAAGGGAGTAGTTCATCCGGTTGATAGAATTTAAAAGTATGTTTCTCAGATATTTTACAAGACATTCTTTAAAAAAAAACTGTAAAAAGAAAATTATTATTATTATTAAAACAATGATCTGCTTTATACATTTATTTTTTTTTTCATTTTAAAAGTTATTCTTTTGACTATAGTTAATTCAGATTACAGTTGATTTGGTATTAACTTAAACAATTCATTAAATAATATCATTTTGATATAAATTAATAAAACAATTTTTACAGTTACTTTTCTAAAGTCAAACTCTTTCAATCTCAAATACTATTACAATGCATTTTTCAAATAACTTTTTATCAAATTGAATCCATTAATTTACAGATAATCATAATTATAATTATGTGCATTCAGCAATGAAAGAATAGAAAAAAAATCAGAAAAATTGATAAAATAAAACGTTTAAATATACATACGTATCTTTTATGTTAAATAATAGAATGAATTTCAGGTTACTCAGCTTGCTGTTCAGTTACACTTATTATGCACTACCTATAATTAGAATATTATGTAAATACATTTTAAACATTTTCATATTCCTATAATTATATACAAATATCGAATTTTTCATTTGAAATGAATTACTTATCTTTCTATAAAAATAAAATTAACTTACGTTCATCCCTTAATTATTATTAATCTTCTGTAACTTTCCCGCGTAATTTAAAATTAATTATGCCTGGTTAATTTATTTGATTTCGTACAGAAAAAAATATAACCAATCAACGCACAGTATGAGAACTCTTATAATTGGTCACAAAATTTTCGCAATAACCAATCAGAAGAAAAGAAAGTGAAGAGGATAGATAGCGCCTTTTTCAAATCTAGTAAAATTATGTTAGAATTATTTAAATTAAATATCATAGTTAAAACCATAGAGATATTACAGATAAAGGAGACAAACCATAGGCGGTTGTGTAAGTGGAAATGTCTCTGCATGAATATAGCAACAAAAAATGAAAGGTTGATGTTGTCTTTCTCTAACTCATGCGGTACTGGCGCATGCGCATTAGACTTGATGTGCCACCTCTGCTAGCAGACTAATGCGCATGCGCCGCTCAACGCAAGTTAGAGAAAGATAACATTAACCTCTCATGTTCTATCTCTTTTTATTTCGCTGACAGGGTTTTATGCTGGCTTGTCTGCTCTATGTGTAGTATATCTATGATTAAAACACATTATTTAATAAACTATAATGGATTTAAACAATAATTAAAATCCAAAACAATAATAAAATATATACAATTTATAATTCGATAAACAAGGTAAGAGAGAGACACAATAATAAAAACAAAAGTCCCTACGTGATAGCATTTTCCGGAAAAAAACATCGAACCCGATCTAGGGACATTTATTTGAACATGTCGTCATTTCCAGTATAGTACAGGAGTTCGTTGATTAGTTGAACAAAGTTTTTTAAAGTCATTGAATATTGTTTGTTAAAAAGTCCATTTTGTGTGAAAAATAATAAAATGAGTGGTAAAGAAAATTCAACGACGGTAGCCAAACCTACGACTGTGACTAATACCAAATCTTATGGAAAAATTGTCTTGACTTTACAAAATTGTCTTTTACCTGAAGAAAAACTTGCTTCTACACCATCGCATTTAGACGGTTTAGATGCTGAAACTGAAACAGATCTACGGATATTAGGATGCGAATTAATACAAACGGCCGGAATTCTCTTGAAACTACCACAGGTTAATATTATTATTATTAATTTCAATGATATTTGTACTTTTAGGAAAATTTTCTAACCTCTAAACTAGATTTTTTTTTATGTGTCTGTCTGTATATTATGTTATATATACATATATATATATACAAAAATTTTCCTTCGATTCAAAAAATGGTGGTTATACAATAAATTATGTTTATAGTTAAGCACAGTACACACAAAAAAAAAAATAAAAATAAAAATAAAAAAAAATTGTAAGTAAATTACTCTATTATGAAGTTGTGAACTGCGCGAGAATTGTATATCTAAATAAAAATCTAACGTATATACAAATTAAAGAAGAGGAAGGAACATGATATACGTCACGTTTTCTTCACGTATCTATTCATGATCTCAGCAACACACGTTATCAATGGTATAATTTACATTTGAATTATACACATTATATATGCAATTTATATATATAGTACGTATTTGAATATTTTTCTTATTATTAGCATGGCAATTAAAAAGGTTAAGTTTGGTACAACCCGTTATATATGAAAGTAAGTGTAATATTATAAGTAAAAACAAAACCAAAAAATAACAATTATATTTTCCTTCTAACGATACAAGTTTTGCTTTTTTTCTTTTTTTCTTTTCAGTTATACTATTCATTTAGATCATTTACACAAAATCTTTAGTTCAGTGTTTTTCAATTGATGGTCAATATAAACAAATTTTAATTGTCAACAAAAAGTAAAAGTCAATTTGAAATTAAAATTATAATTTGATTGACTTCGAGGATGAAATTATTTATTAATTAATTTAATTTTCCATTTACTTTTGTATAATTATTTTTAAAAAAATATATTATAGTATATTAAATTTGTTACATGTTCTACAATAATTATATTTTATTTTTCAACATTTATTGTGTTGATTCATAGTACATAACCCAATTGAGAAACACTACTTTATTTCATATAACAATCTCATTTTTCATAAAAAAAAAATACTTCAATGTCAAATTAAGAATAAACTTTTGTTCCTAAAATTATATTTTATAGGTTGCAATGGCTACTGGACAGGTGATATTTCAACGCTTTTATTATAGTAAATCGTTAGTGAGACATAACATGGAAACAACAGCAATGGGTTGTATCTGTTTAGCTTGTAAAATAGAAGAATCACCAAGGAGAATTAGAGATGTTATTAATGTCTTTAATCACATTAAACAAGTTACTTGTCAAAAGTAAATTTCATTTATCTCACATTAAATGGAACATTTATTTCAAAAATGTATGATGTGTTGTATTTGTAAATAATTTATTTTTCATTTGATTCTTTTTTTTTTTCAGACCAATACAACCAGTGATACTTGATCAAAATTATGTAGCATTAAAAAATCAAGTTATTAAATCAGAAAGAAGAGTATTAAAGGAATTAGGTTTTTGTGTACACGTCAAACATCCACACAAAATAATAGTTATGTACTTGCAAGTATTGGGTTATGAAAAGAATCGTGCTCTAATGCAACAATGTTGGAATTACATGAATGACTCATTACGATCAGATGTATTTTTGAGACACCAACCAGAAACTGTGGCATGTGCATGTGTTTATTTGGGTGCACGTCAGCTTCAACTTCCTTTGCCAACTTCACCATCGTGGTTTTGTCTTTTCAAAGTTAGCGAGTCAGCAATAAAAGACGTGTGTCGTCGTATTTTAAAATTATACTCTAGGCCACGAGTAAAGCCAGAACAATTGGAAAAGAAAGTAGAAGAGTTACGTCGTCAATATGAAGAAGCAAGAACTAAAGCACGTGGTGGTGATGTTGACAGTCATACACCAAGTCCACCATTGCCAAAACATCACAATGCTTGGGGTGGTTTTATTAGTCGCAGTGGTACACATGCTGTACCTGAAAGAACTAAATCACCTAGGTATAAAGTATATCAAATTTTTTCTAATTGTATTATATAGGTTTCATAATGTATACTTATTTTTTTGTTTGGGTTTGTTTCACAGACGTTCTAAGTCAACCAGTACCTCTCCGTCCAAAGGAGAAGGAACAAAACATAATAAAAGAAAGAGACACGTTAGTAGAAGTAGATCTCGCAGTTATAGTCATGGAAGATCTCGTAAACCCAAAAAAGCACAACGAAGAAGATCAGGTAGTCACAAATCTTCACATAGTCGTTATAGGTCCCATAGTCGTTCACGAGAAAGAGATTCTGAAAAATCATGTAAGCATCGTAGCAAACGCCGAAGACATTAAAATATAATAACAGACTTTAATTAATAAATTTAATATAGATATATATAAATGAACAAAAGATCATGGATATTTTCATGATATAATTTTATCTTTAAAGAAGAAGAAGAAGAGAAGAAGAAAAAAAAAAAAAGGAACTTTTGCTTTAAAAAGTTGTAACGTTTGTAATTTGTAATCTTTGTAAATAAAATGTCATTTTGAACTATGCTATTTAATCATTATAGTTTAATAAAAAAAATTTACAAATATATATTGTGTTTCATTTTATTTTACTTTATTTTATTTTATTGTTTCATTAAAATAAATCATTTATTAGATTAAAAGTGAATTAAAAAACAATTCAATTGACAAATAGCATACGTGACATTAACCTCAAACGCTGCGCACTGTACCACTGCGCATCCTGCTACTCCGAAATAACGGGAAACGTGACGTAGCGTAATGGCCGCTAACCTACAAAAATTTGAAACTAGAAAATATCTATATTTAAAACTAAACATTATTAATAAACGCATTTATAATTGATCAATTTAATATTAATAATATAAATGAAAAAATATCAAGTGAATATAAAATAATGAAAAGTATGATAAATAGAAATAAATAAAAGCGGAAGAACAATTTATGAGAAAATGGCTACTCAACGAATAATATGTTTGACAATTTAGATAAAAAGTAAAGATAAATGGAATAATTAAAAGCACGTTTATATTTAAAGATTGCAATATTACAGATAATATTGAAATATATCTATAGATATTTCAAAATAATTCTTAAATGCATTTTAAATAGTCAGAAAGATTAATTGTAGATGGCGATGATGTAAATGTTCACATTAACAAGTATACGATTGGATAAAGTTGCAATAGATTCTGACGTCATATCCTAGTTTACTCATTAAAATCAAGTTATTTAAAATATTATACCGTTAGCCCGTCTATGTTATATTTAGTAAGCCTTATTAATTTGACTAGTTGAAGTTCCGGTTAAGTTAAGTGAGTGTGCTTTTTTCAAACATGGGGAGGTTATTATTTTGAAATAATATGTTGGAACTTGAAAGCCGGGTTGTCGTAGTGTTGTTAAGTTTGTTGAGTGGGTGTATATTATTATACAACACCTGGGGACCAGTCCTCGCAGTAGTCATATCCTTAATTCTAGTGATCTATGTTTGCTATTCTTTGATCACCAACGATAGCTTGCTATCGCCGCATGCATTTTATTTTTTTTATTATTTCAAAGAAACCGCTCTAGAATTGAAGATAGTTATAGAGAAATTGATAGTTTATCTATTAAGATACTTTCATTTTATCTGCAATCAAATAAAATACGTTTTTGAAGTTATTTCATCGACAGTTAATAAAATGACGAGCCGAAGATCAAGTGGATATCAATTAAGCAGTGATACTACTTTTAATAGTAGAAACACATCAAGATTTGATATCATTCCACAATTAAGTCCAATCCCACGAACTGCTCATAAAATAAATATTTCTGATATATCCAATGTATCTGAGAACAAATTCAATCAGAATAACAAATATCAATCTCCTGGTACAAGAAATAGATACAGCAAATATATGTCTACGCCATTAAGTGTATTAAAAAAGGATGATTTACGTGAATTAGAATCGGATACGTTAGAGACTACTAATTTATCATCACCGAAGAAAAATTCTCCAATGTTTAATCAGAATCATACTTTAACACGCGGTGAAAATAATACAACGTTCACACCTGAGGGATCACCATGGGGTACTAGCATCAGTCCCAAAATGAGATCTAAAGCTGCTGGAATTAAAACTGTGCAGACAGTTGCTGGACCATTATTGGCTTCTACAAGATATAACATTGATCCTAAGTAACTAATTTACTTTAATTATTATTATTATTAGATTATTCATTCGCATTGATATTTTCTTTATATGATAGGACATATACTGATATAACATCACCAGGATTAACATTGAGGTTAACTAAATACGCCGCCGAAGCTAATAATAAATTGACACATCAGTCGCAGTACAGCACCGGCCAATTTCCAAAAGTTAATCTCCATGCCAGTCCTATTCCTCTTATCAATACAAAATTTGCTAAGATAAGAGGACCTGTTACAGTTAGAATCGCACCGCCAGAAACTACCAAGTTTTCACCTCAAGAAAGGCAAAAAATGTTGTCTGATGTATGCCAATCAGAAAATAAATCTCCATCGTCTAATGTTGTACAAGTTTTAAAAGAGATATCATTGAAAAGACACGCGTCCAGGGAAGATGTTACAACTGAAATTGTGAAAAAACAAAGAACTGATAATATGTTAATAAACGATGCTGCTACTGACAATTTTGAAGAAACCAAACAAAAAAGAGGTAGAGATGAATCACCTAAATCCGACGATGAGAATTCATCGAAAAATCTTAGACCTACCAAACGTAGTAAAACACCATCATGTTATGATATTCTACGTTCGTTAAGCTCAAGTGTTCATGTTGCTACTGGTATAAAAAGAAAAGCTGGTATGTGCAATATTTTTCTTATATAATCAATGTTATTTCATTTATCAAATTGTATATTAATAATATGAATTTTAGTTGACTGTTCTCGCTGTGGAACTCCTGAATTTGAAAAACATTTTAAGTCTTTGAAAGATTCGCAACATGAAGATTTACAGTCTCCTATTGAACTACAAATTATAAATAAAGAAGATACAGATGCTGAGATGAATGAGAACAAAAAGCGAGTTGCAAGTTCACCTTCACATAAATCTCCAGATAACAATCAAAAACAACCTTGTGTTAAAGGAATACTTAAACCTCATAATAATGCAAAGAACGATAGTGAATCCAATGTACCTCCTCTTCCTGTTAATGAACAAGATGTAAAACCTCATGAGGATAAGGAAGAAGGTAATAATAGTTCTTTAAATACAACCACATACACAGATAAATTGTTTATGAAAGAAGAACCAAAAAGAAATGACAAATTAAAGTCATTCGAAGAAGAACAAAAGCATTTTATAGAGGCTGGCTTTACCACAAACGATGTAGAAGAAATTAAAAAGACAGATATAGTCAAAATGAAACAAACCAGTATGCGAGCTAGATTACAAAGTATGTTTGATGCTATATCTGGCAAAGGTGAGTATTTACAGATTTCATGATTTTATTTAAACAACACAATTTCATTTCTAATACACTATTTCATTATATTTTCCAGCAGCTAGTGGAATTAATCCTGATGTTGTCATTCAGGCGGAAGAAATTAGTGAAGTAGCACCTACAATTTCTTCTTCTACAGATTGTGCTACTCTCAATTCTATAACAACGACAACTAACGTTAATACAACACCTATTACTACGTCTGCTTTAGCACCACCACTTTCTCCTTTATCTAATACTAAACCAGTCAAACATATAACATTTAACTTACCAAATACAGAAAATGTATCTGGTATTAAAGAACAGAGTGCAAGTAATTTAGTATCAGATGACAAGAATAAATCAATGATTAATTCTGAAACATCAACTTCTAAGACTGATGCAACACCAACATCACAGGAATTACCTAATGTGACGATAATTACAACGACAGTTTCATTCACAATACCTAACAAAACGGTAACAGAAACGTTACCAATTACAACATCAGCTAATTCAGTAATTGTATCACCAAAAATCTCAAGTGGAATATTGAAATCAAGTACTCCCATTATAAATCTTTCTACAAGTTCTACAAATGTACCAACAACAACTGTTATACTGTCAATACCATCTTCTTCAACTAGTCTCTTTGCAAATAAGAGTACTATCGCTAATACTGCAACAACATCATCATTTTCTGATACAACCAATAACAAAACTAGCATTGGCAAATCCTTCTTACCTAATTCAACTAATACAGGATTTACAACGAGTACCAATTTTCCTAAATTTACTTTTGGCAATATTGCTAACACTACTACTACTGAGTCATCACAAATAAATACTGCATCTGTTCAAAATACAACCAGTGGTTTAAGTTTTACCACTGACATGAAAAATATGTTTACTGCTCCAGCTAATGTTACTTCGATAACTGTTGGTAGTAGCGCTGGTGCTGGTGCTGGTGCTGGTTCTGCTGTTTCTGTTTTTCAAAATATTGGAGATAATACTACAAGTAACACCTTTAAAAATTTCTCAACAACTACAACAAGTTCAGTACCATTCATATTTGGAAGTAATACTACAACGACGTCTAAATCTGAAGTTTCTTTATTTAATACAACAACAAGTAATGTTGTTACTAATCCAATGTCTAGTAATACAACTATAATTTCAATTAATCAACCTACAACAAGCAATACGATGTTAAATTTGGCAAATAGTACATTTAATGCAAATGCATCTAGTGGATCTACGACGTTTACGTTTAGTACCACAAAACCTATATTTTCATTTGGAACATCAAATGCATCAACAACGGATAATAAATCAACATTTTCTTATAATGCAAATGCATTAGGAAACTCTACTGGATTGTTAACATCAACTAATACACCAGTTACATCTACTACAAGTAATAATACAACTTCTGGATTTAACATACCAGTTGTAACTTCATCTACGCAATTTTCTACAAATGCATCTATATTTAATACACCATCAACTACAA